ATATATATATGTATATATATATATGTATATATATATATATGTATATATATCATAAATTATGTAACTACTGTTTTTTCTGAAACCAAAATTCATACCTGATCTGCTCCCAGTAGTTCTGTTGACTTTTTCTTCTGCTGTTGGTCGTTGGCCCAGCCACACAGTCTTCTCTTTTACAGATTTATGTGATCATGTATAGTTTGGACTCTAACGCCACAATTATCTGCAAACGATGCAAGAAGTTCCAGTGAACTGTCTGTAATCCCTTTATTATGGAAAAAGACAAAGACATACACAAGAAATGGAGTTTATATACCTGAAAATCAGTACTCACTGGGTTAGACATTAAAACAAATCATTTTACCTCCACTGTCTTAGCTCACATTGCACCCACAGGTCTAACACTAACACAGGCAGGAAAAAGGTAGATATGGTAAAACTGCAATTGATAACAGCTGTTTAGAAATTTTGAACATAATCTCAAATATAAAGTTATAAGCTATATCTATGCAACTTCACCTGCAGTGACACACTTTGTATTGTTTGAGGTATTGAGGATATTTTCTTATTTCTCTGTCTTGCTGCACCTTATGGTCTCATATGATCCTCAGTGATCACTAATTTGCTGATTGCTTTCAGAAAATCTTGTGGACTGTAGTAACAGGCATTCTCTGATGCGCCACACTGAGTTGTTTATCGCTCACTATAGCAAACAGTTAATGCTTCAAACGTCAGCTAGACTGAAGTGCATGACGCCTCAGCAATTCTCAACAGCCCATACGGGAAAGTATTTTCAATCGGTAACCACAAAATGCTTTTTTTTTCAGGGGATCTAGAGTGCACAACTTTGTCATCTTGAACCCCCCCGCCCATGAAAACTTACACTTGCCGGAGGAGCCAAGCAACCAGTCAAGCGCTAGCAGGGCAGCTTCTGGCCATCAAGGGAAATTCCAAGCTAATGGGCCTTCAGACTTTCCAGTGTATCTTTACCGTCCACTGATTATCGGAGGACTTTTATCATGCAGACACACACACAAGCCTACACCTTTCACACTCTCTTAACTTTTAGTTTGCACTTCAGGTGGATGCACATGCTTTAGACAAACAAAAGTGGAAGAGATGTGGGTGGGAATTTGACAGATGAATGACCAAAGACCAAATTTGTGGGGCCATTAAAGCAGCACAGAATTTAGGCAAATATAAAGGACAACCAACGAAGCACCTCAGTAAGCTGCGGATTGACTCAACGACTGAGACGTGGAAGTAAAGAACAAAAGATGCCAAAGCAACAAAAGCAATTAAACTGTGTAAGAAAAAAAAAGAAAAAAAAAAAGAAAAACACACTTTTGGATTTAAAGCACCTATCTCCAATCCCACAGCCTTGAGAATGGGATTGGATTACTGTCGGTAAGATTTACTCCCGAGGCTCTTCACCACTACATCATCGCAGGGCCCCCTGCCTCTGGATCAATGGGGATATTTACTGCGCCTGTTTCAGGGAGACTTTCACAGTAGGCAGGGCATTAAACAAACAGCCGACAGGCCCGTCCCAATGATGGCCTGTCTGTTCACACTGTGCTGTGCCCAAATGTCACACACCTTCACATCCAACAGGTAGCAGACAAAAACAAGTGCAGCTAAAAGAAGAGGAGTTCAGGGTATGTGCTCCATAGAGACTTAAGAAAAAGCTGGCACTTATTTTATAAAAAGGGAAAAAAGTGTAAAAAGAGAAATGCTAAGGCATGTTTATTTAGATAATTAGCCTTGTAACTTACTCTGAAACTACACTTGTTAAAGACCTCTTAAATGGACATGGCTGAAATGATCCATTGTCTGGTTTCTATTAAAAGTTCTTCACTAGTAAAATACAATTACAGGGCTATATTACATTGTATTCTATTGCCTAATGGAAAAGTAATAAAATTCTAAATGGAAAATCTGGAAAAGGTTGTTTTTCTAAAGAAATTACATTCATACAGAGTCATACGTTGTAACCTCATGTGACCACATGTTGAGCAAACATGCCATCAGGGTCCAAATCACGCAATTTTTTTTCCCAGAACCAAAAAGGCTACACAAATATGATATAAATGTGAGAGGCATTACTATTTTTTTTGTCCCAGACAACAGCCTCCTCATATGCGGATGCTGACTGTCTGCAAAATGATTTGCTAAATGCAAGCGCATGAGTGAAAGCATGAGTGGAATGTGATTTGTTGTCAGACAAATATCAGCAAAAATGGACGCCCTAACAGAGGAAAAATAGTCAGCATGAGGTTTCTTCATTACTTGGCTATTTCACTGACTAAGCTCCCGGCGATCAGCTGACAGAGCAATGTTAGACAATGGGTCTACATGTGGGAGCACCGTGCATTACCGGATCAGCCCGAAAAGAGCTCTCCAGTGGTTAACTCCCATCCGTCAACATGAAAAGTAATATCTGTGTAAAAGTGATTGGGGGCTGGAGTGGGTTACAGAAAAATAAACACTCCGGGCTCAGTGGTGAAAGCCCCTATAAGCTGGACTTTGATAGACCAGTCATTGCCTGGCAGCAGTGGTTTATGTCCTGGGTGACTAACTGGTTTTTGCAGCAGGAGTCATAAATGTTATTCTTGCACTGAAGGGGGCATACTCCTTATTATTTCACATTTTAACCATATTTAGGTTCTGCATATATATATATATATATCTGCGCTGCTGATTTAACATTTATATGCATCTGCTCCAATGTTAAGATGTATATGTTGAAAAACTAAGTGGGTTTATTTTTTCTGATTGGGCTTACTGTAACTGTTTCATTTTGATCTTAAAGAATGACTCTCCTTGACAAAATTGTATGTAAGGACAAGCTAATTTGACTTTACTGTGAGGAATTTAGGATCTGACTTAAATTGTAGTCCTTCACCAAGTCATTAGACACAGATAAGCATTAAAAAGCTCTTTTGATCTTGGTGATTACATCAAGGCCAAGCTTTCATCTTGCAGCTAATGTGGATGTACGTTTTACATTGTGAAGATATTGCTTTTTCATCTATTTCCAGGAATAGTCCTTTTTTCTTCCTTTGCTGTTTTTTTCTTTTTCAAACATGAGACAAATATGATTTTTGTCACAATGTGAAGTTGTGCAAATAAATGTGTGTCTGCACATATGTATACCATGTGTCCAGTGTCCAGCGCTGCAAGGGAAGAATAATGCAGGCAAGCTGCCATCGGTGCACCGATATCATATTCAGTAATGTTATTTTACGAGTTATGATGTTACTCTGACACATTGTTACCTTCATGGTAGTTGCACAGCTTTGGCAGACATCTTAGCTTGAAAAGGAAGCCTCTTCAGCAAGATCTCAACATTTTACTCAAAACTGGTTAATTTCTAAAATGTGTTGCTTTATAATTTGTAGTGGCCTCAAATCTAGTGTCATTTGATGTTGTAAATATCTTTTGTGTCATGTTGTTTCAGAGATAAACATACAGAAATACTCAAAAACTAGGATAAAAAGTTATTTTTATAATTTTTATTTCAAAAGAATATTATTTTATATGATTAACTCTTAAATAATTAAAACTAAATGCTTCAATTAGGCTTGATATGGATTATGAAAGACAGATTAGCTTTTAGCTACAGCTGTGTATGTTTTCTCATAAACAAATATTTATAAATCAAAACAAAATAAAATTGCTTAAAAATATTTTTTTCCCTTTTAATTTTTTGTTTTTGAAATCTCCAACTCTAAAAAGCCTATTTCGAAATATATAAATTCCGTTTGTAATATGCGTCTTAAAACAAAACTATTACTGGATAGATACAAAATATGAAAAAAAAAAAAAAAAAAGCAATTTCTTCTTTACTTTTCTTTTTAAATAAGTTATGTTTTTAGGTTGAATTATTATGAAACAATTCTATATTTTTAAGAATAATCAACAAAAAATAGATTATCTACTAATATAATGTAATCAAATTAAAAAGCAAGTGTTTTAATAAAGGTGATAAGTAATAGGAATAAAAATTGATTTTATGGTTTGTTTTTTATTTTCTGACGGTTAAATGTGACAAATTATGTTGATAATGTGATAAGTTAAATGCTGTTGTTAAATGTGACAAGTTACAACTCCACAGAAGATAGCGAGACCATTCAAACACACACCTGTTTTCCTTTTTTATTTAAGGGGGGATTGGATTGGGCGATGGGTTTGCACTCTGACGAGATGCAACAGATGCAATAACAGAAACCGACTCAGTCAGCTGGAGCAGTGGTTTGCTGAAAACAATGAAAACAGCACGTGATAGATAGCTCAGTCAAAAGGTTAACGGTAAATCACAGACAAAAACGTCTTGTTTTTAAAAAGTGCATTCACAAACATGACAAATAACTCTCAACTCATGATGTCTATTTTATGTGATAGAAAATATGCATACCTGTTTTAGATTTGTCTGTATTTCTATACATAGATATTTCTTCAAAAGATCACCTCTTTTTTCCTTCTCTTTTACAAAGGTTAAAATCAGGGTTGGTGGTTATAGCAGCTTTGGATATCTTTTGCCTCCTTATCACATGAGAAGATACACATTGTGTCAACAGATATCCAAATAAAACCTACAATTTCTCTCTGTTGATCAACTCAACTGACAAACTGTCTTTAATAACAGAGATAATCATCAGTGAAGCCTGCTGTTTATAAAAAAAAAAAGAACTCAACAAAATGCTTGGGCTGTTAAATATATATTTGAATACCCGCTTTTTTTTTTGTCAATATCATAAATACTAAAGACACGGGACAACATTATAAGACAATGCTGAGAGACTAAATGTAAAGATTAAAATAGTTTAAACGTTATTTTTCAAGTTTTCTAGTTCATGAGAAAAAAGGCTGTATCAAGCGAGCACAAAAACACTACACTTCGATCTTTTCTTCAGTGTTGTCACGGCCCTTAGATTTAAAGAGCAACCTTTTACAGGACAACTGGACAAAAGTCAGAATCTCTTTGAACAAAAAGATGTTCTTATGCGAGTTTGTCCTGTCCGTAAAATATGCTTGCCCATTGTCACTTAGGCAGAATCCTGGTTTCCAAAGGAATTCATAAAAGCAGTCAAACATACCAATAAAAACAAATAAGTACCATGCATATCTTGCAAGACGACATATTCTCAAACAAGAGACAAAGATTTCTTTGTATAGACGAAATATCAAGTGAGAAGGGAATGGGTGAAAGGCAAAGGCCTCTAATCAATACTAAATACCATAATTCCAAAACCAAACAAAAATGTAATCTGTACAAAGAGAAGTATGCATGAGTTCAAACTGGATCAGCAGTTTTCTTCCTCAGGAATTGTCTCATCATACTTTAGTCTTTATGAAACTGCTACAATACAGAAGTCTTTAATTGATCCCAATCTCTTTGTTCTCCTCCATATATCTGGAAAAGGGTCGACTGGATGGAACCTCCAGACCAGACTTCTCCATACCCGTGATGGGAGAGCTTCTGCCAGTGTGAACACGATCCATACCTACTGGCATGGCTCCTAACGAAGTGATTCCTGCACCTCCGAGGCTGACAGGGAGCTGGGTGATGCCCCCATTCTGAATTACAGATATTTCATTGTTCTTCATGGCCAGACCATTGGTGATGGCAGCTGCATACTGGTTCCAGAAGCCTGGGTCAACGTTCATGGCCCGGGCTGCCAGATCCTTCTGAAACATCTCACTAAACTTCATGGCGTCACCGCCAAGAAGGGCCATGGGATTCTCCACTGATAGGCGTCGACCCCTCCGGGCAGGAGCGTTGTTCCACATATGTGTTCCCATGTGAACCTAAAGGCAGCAACAAAAAAAAATATATATATATGTAAGCACTGTTACTGTTTTCTTGTCAGACCAAACTTTAAATACTACACCAATAGCATGTTATTATCCAAAATAAAATGGAACATTTATATTTTACAGAAGTAAAATAAACCCACCTAAAAGAACAATACAATCAGCATCTTAAGTCAATCATGCTTAACTCCAGCCCTCGAATGGACTGTAGCCTGGATGTTTTAAATATGTATCTGCTTTAGCATATCAATTTTAGGTGACATTATTACCTATATACTATGTATTTAATTCAATAAAGACCTAAAAACAAACCATTTATTTATTCGGACTTGTTTAACACTGAAAATGTCTAGAACATAAAACACCTTCCTTGAGGACTAACACTCCGGAACACTGCTAAGATCATGGTGTTCAAGTTCAGTTCTCAAGAACTGCTATCCTGCAAATTTTTGATACACCTCATTTTTAACACAATTAAATCAAATGAGTGGCTCTTTACCATACCTCTGCCAGGCCAAATCAGGGGACTGAGACTTAAGATTCAGGTGGCTTAGAAAAGAGATGTATCTAAAAGTTACAGGACGCTAACTGGACTTGAGCACCCCTGGATTAGATCAAGCAAAATTCTCCAAAATAAGACAATAAACACATTTCCAAGAATATTGTTGTGAATCTAATGTTTAAATGTCGGTTTATCTGCAACAAGAATGACCAGATGTAAAAGTTTATAAAATTTTGTCTTGGGTCTTACTTTCAAATTGCCCTTTGTGGTAAAGGCCCTTCCACAAATAGAGCAGGCAAAAGGCTTCTCTCCTGTGTGTGTGCGCTCATGGATTTGAAGTGCACTAGCTGAGGAAAAGTTTTTTCCACATGAGTGGCAGTTGTGCTGCTTAGGGGTGCGACGTGGAGGTGGGGGTGCCAACATAGGGTTGATTGTGGGACTCATGGTGGTCTGAGGTGCTGCGGCTGGAACCTGAATCCCCACAGGCAGGTGAGAGTTGTCACTCAAAGACTTTCCATGTCCATTCATTTCCATTTTAATCATGTTTGATGCTGTACTTGCTAAATTGGGAGTATTTAGTCCTAAAAAAAAAAAAAAAGCACAAAGGTACAATTTTAAAGATTAATGAATTAAATCTTAAAAATGGTAATTGAACACAATAGGATGATTATATACATTTAATAAATATGTCTGACTGTGCCCAAATTAAGCAAGGTTGTTGCCATCTAAAATGTACTATTCTAAGAAAATAACTTAAATATAAGGGAAATGTGTGCACACTCACCCCGATCTCTGTTTAGAAATAACATGTTGAAGGGGCTCTCCTCCTTGATAAGGTTCCTGCCAGGTTGAGTGGCAGTCAAGTCTAGGGCCCCGGTGCCTTCAGTAGTAGAAAGGGGAGATGGGGTCTCTGATTTTTCTGACTTCACTGTTGCCAAGCCAGCAGTATTGTTCTCTTGGCCCTCCTCTGCTGTCATTGCACTACTGGTGTTATTATTATTGAGCGTAGCTGGGGATTTGGATTGCTGGCTCTCAGAATGGCTGTGAGCTGGGGACAAATGCTGCATAGAGCCTGAGGACTCTGACAAAGCCGGGCTTCCCAAGCTCTGACCTTCAGCATCTCCCACAGCAGTTAGGGGATCAGTTGTAAAGCAGTCAGTCTCTCCAGGAAAACTGCTGCCATTCTGTGCTGTCTTATGGCCAAATGTGCGAGTTATATTGGCAGTAGAGTCAATCATCTTCATCTGGTTTTCCATTGCAGCAATACTAGAAATTATAGAAGCTGGGGGTGAGCTCCCAGGTGAGTACGGCTTAGAAGGGTCCACTTCTCCATCTTTTAAGTCCACTTCGTCATCCATAGCCTGCTCCATTTCATCAAGGAGGTCATCATCATAGTTACTCATTGCATCTAGGCTCTTTTCATCAAAAGAAATGTCAGTTTCCATCTCCTGCAGATTGTCAGGGACAGGGGTGTTGGGAATCTGTCCACCCATATGCATACGGATGTGTTGTTGGAGCACAACAGCATTGGTGAATTTTTTCTGACATATAGGACAGGAGTGCTGGACTCTTAGTGGGGGTTTTGACCTGTGGACACCAAAGTGTGTCTTTAGATTTCCCTTAGTAGTGAATGCTCGTCCACATATCTTGCATTTGAAAGGCCTCTCACCAGTGTGGATACGGTAGTGCATCTTTAGAGCACTCTGACAGCTCAGAACACGGTGGCAGATGACACACTGGTTGGGGTCGGTCATCTTCTTATCAATGTTTTCAACAAGCTGCTGCAACTTTGACGTTTCAGAGGTTTGCATAGAATCCAATAGTCCTCCAAAGGGAAACTTGGCCTTAAACTGGTCAGAAATCATTGGAAGGACGGGATGGGAGACTGTATTCGAAGCAGAGTTGGGGCTATTGTTTGGCTCAGTATTTTGGCCATTGCTTGAAAATGTTGTAGATGTGACAGTGGAGGGAAGAAGAGCTTGACTTACTGTTGTTGTGGTGGTCATGCTCTCTATTGGCCTGTTGAGGCAACTTGGGGACAGGAGAATGCCTTCAGGTTTCAAGAGAGGAGGTGCATCACTACCAATATTAGGTTTTGGGGAGGGTGAAGTAGTGGTCATGCCAGAATCACTGGCAATATTTGGGGACAAAGAGGCACACTCACTTGTGGGTGGAGAAGGTCTCTGAGGAGACCTGTTAAGTGGAGTGAGGCTTGGGGAATCGGAAAAACCTCCAATCATACTTGGGAGTGTTGGAGGCAGCTGGAGTCCAATTGATGTTGGGACAGTGGGAAGGACTGGTTTACTGTCAAGCCATGTAGTAACAGGTTTTTCTGGGGGCAACGACATGCCGTATGGTATACCAGAGCTTGTGGGAACATTGTCTAGGTACTCTGGTACAGGGTATGGGTTCATTTGAATGTGCGGGTATTTTTCTTTGTGCCTCTGGAAATGGACTTTCAGATTCCCCTTGGTAGAAAAACGATTGCCACATATGTTGCACTTGTAGGGCCTCTCTCCGGTGTGAGAGCGCAGGTGGATCTGCAGGGCACTGTCACTGCCAAACACTTTGGCGCAGAACCGACACTTATGTTTAAAAAAGGGGTCTTCAGACGTGGGCTTAGTGTCAAACACAGACACGTTAGGAGGCTTTCCCTTTCTGTGTTTCATTAGAGCAGAAAGAGGGTCAAGTGCATTGGCTGTTGCAGCAATGCTAGCCAGTGGATTGGGGAAAATTACGCTGCTCGAGGAACTGTGAGGTATCAGTGGTAGACTGGAGGCAGAGTTTAGGAGGCTGCTGTGACTTAGAGAGGGAGGGGTTGTGGAGCTTCTTGAAAGAGATGAGCTGTTGCTGATGCCACCTCCTCCTCCTGTCATGCTACTGCTAGTGCTACTGTTGTTATTTGAGACAGTGGATGAGCAGGAGGGATGTAGAGCTGGCAAGCCAGTGCAACTTGGTGGTGGAAAGGCTGTATTATTTGATGATGTGTTTGGAGGCGAGGAGTTAGATTGCTGAGTACTACTCTGTGGTGTTTGAGAGAGAGGCCCTTCTATTGCTGAGGTCAGAGGAGAGGGGCCTTGACCACTAAGAGTGGCAGGCAGCCGGACAGGTAGCTGATGGACAGGCGGTGTAATGAAATTATGTAAATGAAGCTGGTTTGCAACAGGAGGGACACAAGAAGATATAGAGCCTTGGTTTCCTGTAGCACTGCTGTGATGGTGGTTGAGAGTAGGTTGTGGAGTAGACTGTCTGTTCATGAGGGCTACTTGACTTCGTATTTGTTCTATAAGCTGCAGCTGATGAATCTGTTGCTGCTGAAGAGCCATAAGCTGATCCAGGATCATTGGGATAGCCATGGTGGAGACCCCACTTCCAGCTGCTGCTCTAACACTCTGCGAAAACTGGGCAACTGCAACTCGAGTACCATGGAGAGTCTCCAAGGTAACATTGGTGCTTGGCATGGTGTAGTTTGTAATTGCAGTGGGGACAACATCGTTTAGCTGAGGTAGAGAGCCATCTGGCTCAGGTGATGTCACATCTCTTTCTTCAGAATCTATATTTTTTTCAGGAGAAAGCTCCAGCTCCATCTGCTCATCTTCCTTGTCCAGGACATTGACCCCATTTAAGGGATCTGTTTCTGGGATGTCATCTCCCTCACCGACAGGACTCTGGTTCCCTTCCGGAGCGTCCTCACTATCATCTTGCTCACTGTTGCAGCTCGGGATCGGTGAGGGCTCCGAAGGGTACTCCTGGGAAGGGTTAGGCGTGTCCTCATTTTCATTCACAATGAGCACAAGGGGGTTCTTTGTACAGCTGTTTAAATGTTCACAGAAATCAGACCACTTGAAGAACTCGGCACAACACTTTTCGCACACGTGAGTTTCTTCACTGCCACTTCGGCTCTCATTCCCACTGTCAGCATCATCCAGCACATCACCTTGGGCTGCTAGAGAGGTAGAGGGTCAGGGGAGTGGATGAGGATAAAAAAGAAGGGAAGGGGGTGAAAGAAGAATTAATGAATAAATAATCAATATAGAATTCACACATATTTTGCAGAAGAGTGCAACAAAGATTTAACCTTTAATTTCTTTTCTCTTTTAACATAACCAAAATCAATATTCTTTCTTTTTTTTTTTTTTACACTGAGCAAATTACCCTAGTTCACCAACTCTCAAGACCCAGATTTGTGCATTCACACCCTCTCCATAGAGCCAGCTAATAATTTTCTTTGTGCAATCCATCAAATTATGAGAGCCTATCAATTGTGGATACTGCTGCTTAATGAAATTCCATAGAACCTATTGATTTCCAATATTTCATACAATTCACAGCAGCCTCATCTGTTGGGTACAAATAAGGACTTTGATGGCCCCATTAGGATTCCCCTCTGCTATCAAGCTCAGTCATTTCCACCTGAATTTCAAATGCTCCTGCTTTTTTTTTTTATTTAACACTGCACAGGTAATAGTTTAGCCCTGAAAACAAGTAACTTAAAACGTCAACTGTAACAAGAACTTGATCTCAAATACTGTTTAAAAGTATATCCTAATTTCTGTAAAAAATGGAAGAATGTGAAAAAAATGTAATATTTAAAAAGCTGTAACCAAAAGAAAAGATATTTTATGAAACAATAAGTTCCTCTCATTTTTCTAAATGCTTGATTTCCTTTCAGCCACTCACTTTTTCTTCCCAGCACTAGACACTACAAATTACAGACTTGTGCCATGGCAGCAAAGTCCCTGATTAGTTACACATGTTTAATCACAGTTGTTGGAAGCCACTTCCTCTTCCACATGCAGTCCTCAAGAGTCAAACAAACCAGCACAAGCTCTGAACATGGATCCAGTTCACACTTGATCAAACCCAAGGTGAATGGCCTCTTTAGTAAGTTTATTTTTTCTGTTTAAGTATAAACGTAAAGCATGTCCAACTCTATGGATATATATTGTGTACAAATGTATCACTTTAACGAGGCTTGGGATGGTTAACTACGTTAAGATATACCAGCGCTTTGAAATGACTAACATTTCCTTTTAGTAAGAAACCTTAGAAACCTTCCTACAATTTAAAGTTAATAAAATGAGGATTCAAAGAAAATGCAAATGAATTTACAGTGAGCAGCAACAGTACTGCTTTCACTCCTGCCTGTTGCTGCTTATTGTAAGTCACTTCACTAACATAATGCTGAAACACTTTTTCCTGCTAATATAATCTTGTTAGGCTTGCAACGTGCTGGAATACTCTGCAGATGAAAATTACTATTACATTTAATACAATCAGGTAAAAATATCAAATAAGTATGTCAATTATGACCAGCAATTGTTATTTTAGCACTTGTGGGAATATTTATCTGTTTTTCAATAAAGGATTTTTAAACTAATTTCTAAATACCATGATAACAGGAATTTATGGTATTTTTACCCCCGTTATTGTACCATGAGAGTCTCCTGCAGGCCCATGCCAAATTTTATCATAAGTAGAATAAGTATAAATGGAAATCAATTAAAAAATACTTTATTAATCCCAAAGGGTTATTAATCACAGCTAATAGTTATATTGCATTTATATGATCTATTTATTTAGATTATAAGTACAGACTTTCACCAAAGATAGTGAAAAAAATCATAATAATGTTCTTACTTTAAAATTAAAACTTTAATTACAATTCCTGTTATACCCACAACCATTAGGCATCTTGCTTACATGTGACTTTATAATGAAAAAAGGACAATTCTGAATAGTAGAATGAATGAAGGAAAGGGAGCCAAAGCTAAACAGACCTAAGGTGAGGCTTCAATTTCCAGGCTTCATTTGTAAAGAAATGTATCAGTCTCCCTGCTATGCATGAAATACTCTTATGTATGGGGCAGGTATTTGAGGCAATGTCTACGTAGCGATCATCACTTGAGGCTAGAAGCCAATATAAAGTATAATATCAGAAAACAATGGAAAACGAATTACGCATTTTAATATGGACATAATTCTTTTAGGATTTGCACTATTCTTAAAGTGATTTTTTTTTTACACAATCATCATTAAGAATTGGATGCTAAAATCCCCTTTTTAAATAAAAAGCTAAAAAAAAAAAAAAAAATCTTAGAATGAAACTAAGAAGAGAAAAAAAACAGCCAGCGCTTGAAAATGTAATCGACACGTGACAGCGGGCTAAAAAGCTCCTTAACCCGGGAGCGGACAGCACAACTCATTTCCATAATTGAGGGTTGAAAGGTCAACACAAATGAGCAGGCATTGTGTTGAGCTGATTAGTTATTAGAATGGTATTACTGTCAATCTCTTTTATTCATTCATACAATCACAAGTGGGGGCCTTTGTGTGCCTCTGACCTCACACACTCACACACACTGGCACGTTTTCCAAAGACAAAGAATGAACTAAAAGATTTCATATGTAACAAAATAAACATAAATATGCATAAAATGACAGGAAAAGTGTGGATTTTTTAGTTTTTGGCCAGCTTATTTAAATGACAAAATGTCTTTTCTCTCTTGTGAACTAAGATTCTCCCAAGTGAATTATATTTTTGCTGTTTATTGCAGTAAATTAAAAAGCAAAGTGTGCTAGCTTGCTTTAATTCAGCATTTTTAATGACTTGAAATGCTTAAACTGTTTAAGACCATTTCAAATATTAAGAAAAACAAAAAAAAAAACAAAAAAAAAACAATCAAGATACAAACACGTCATGCTGACTGTGTGAGGTTAAACGCTGCATTAATTAGTCTGTGTTAATTACAGTGATGCGATCCACAGCAATAAACCACCTGAACGCTTTTAAACCTGGAAATATCGAGACTTGAACAAGCTGACGAAAACAGCTGCAGTAGCGTTCAGCGCTTTGTCACACAGCTGTCAGAACTGTTGCATCTGCAGCAAAAAGGTGTGTGATTGCAGATATGTGCATGCGTTTCTGTGTGTGTGAGACTATTGATTTTCTTAGGCCTATAGGATGAGAAAGGGAAAAAAAATCCAATCTGTTTTTATTCATTTAAAAGTCTTCATTTACGGTGATGTAAATGTTTAGCTGAAAGTAGTCAATAGAGAGATTGTAGGCACCAAATCTGTGTCCACTTTAGTTGTGTGCTCTGGTGTGCAAACCTATATCACTGATTTAACCTATCAAGTTCTTATGCTTTCTGCTAATTCTGGAAACAACATCCAACATGGGATTGATGAAAACAGGCGCTGATGTTCCCGTTATCCAGATTTGATTAATAAGACATAGAGAAACAATGAGCGACACTTTGGACAACATGTCTCCTTTTAAAAAAATAAGATTAATTTCGCAACTTGTGTTCTACATAAACTGTCAATAATCAGCATCTGTGCTCTAATTATTCCTACATCATCCATTTCTCTCTACAACCCGAGGACAATCACACACTCTTAGTAAGAGATGATTCACTGCAAGTTCCCTCTCCAGCTGGGAGGAAAAAGAAAGGAAAACAAGGCCTGGTGGGTCCAAAAATGTTGGAATGCTGTAATTACATTTTTCCAGTAAATGTTCTTTTTAAATTTTTGCTTTCAAGTAAAAATCTATTCTTCCAGGGGATCATGTTTAAATAAAGATGTATTATAATTTACATTCAAAACTGAAAGTATAGTTGATGCTGTGTTTGCTTCACAAGTTTGAAATATAAATCATGTTAAAAAAAAGGTGGATTTCTTTGGTTCAGGTTTGCTTTGAAGAAAACAATTCCGTTTTACTTCCACACATGCTGACACAGTTTTGTGTTTTTGGGTACTAAACACTTCCTAGTGACTGATGTCTGCGAGGTAATACCCAAGTGTGCGTTTCCCTCGACTGATCCCAAAGCATCCCTCAGACCTGCCGGAGGCTCGGCTCGTTCTGAGGCTGGCTCCGCGTGTGTGCGCATGTCATCGAGTGGTACAGTCATATCTGCAAAAACACACACAGAGGCCTTTTGTCATCCCCTGCAGATGTGGCGCAGCCAAAACATTAACGATTTGTTTGTGCAAGCGTTTGCAATACAGTATTCAGTGACGGCGCTCTGTCCGGATGACCGCACCACTCGTCAGGATGGGTTTCTCTGCCTGGGTTGAAACCAAAGCTGGAGATCAGGAAACGGAGGTTCTTCACAGCAGAAGGACATTTTATTAATTTGTGTTCCTCTTAAACTAAATATTTGCCTAACACTTCAAGTGTGGAATAAAATGTTTTGAATTTGGTTTTATTTTGACAGGCCATCCGTATCTATTAACTCTGAGAAACTCAGTCGTAGTCTGTCTGGTTTGCCGTCTAAATAAGATCTGGCCTTTAAAACTGTTATTAATTTCGCAGATTCATCTGTTAATGATCCCCCCCCTCCCCTTTTTGTTGACCACGCCATTTTAGTTCACACTGCTGTTTGTCTTAGGAAACAGCAGGAAATAAAAAGTGCAGGTGATCTGTAAGCTTCCCAAACACTCTCTGTTTCCCGAAGTCAAACAGTCCTTCCGTCTCCTGCCTTGTCCTTCCTCTTGATCCGGATCACGCTTGCTTGTGCAGTGTTTTTAGCTCTGAGTAGTAATTAAGACACAGCCATTTTTGAGTGCCTTCTCAAAGACATCCTTGGCACATCCATGTGGGTGGTCCGCAGGCCTGCACCCAGTGGTGAGAAGGGATTAAAACAAAAGGCAAACAAAGCCCCACTGCAGGGGAAGTGGGCAACAAATATGTTGTCATTGTCAGCAGGGGTTTTAGCACTCACTCCATATCTTTAATTTTTACTCATCAACAAAGCAAAGAGGGTGAAGTTTCGGGCTGAATAAATTACCTCTTTTTCTCAAGATTTTACACCCTGATTAATATGAACATGGGTTGCAGGAATGTTGCGGTTAAGAAGGAAAAAGAGCATCATCTTTTTTTTTAAGATCAAAAAACAATTTTTTCCAAATTATCCTTCCTTGTTTCCTGCATGTCCTCTACAAATAGAAAACCTTTCTTGAAACCGTCTTAATGCACATAGTTTGAACCTAAATGTGCAAGAGAAGTGACGGTGTGTTGCTCACTCTTACTCAAACACGAGTGAGCTGTGCTGCCAAGGTCAGCACGCATGTTCTAATTGTACAAAGAGCTTGACATCTAGCGGCAGGGTCTGCCCGGCCGGGGACTACACAAAGGTTAAGTCAGCAGGCTTTGTAAAAGCACTCCTAAGCTGACAACCCCAGCACCCCCCACCTCCCTACATCCTCTCCCCACAACAACACCCATCACTGCCCCTCATGCCACAGTGGGGAGCCAGCATCCAAGAGGCCTTAGAGGTGGCAGACATGGTCCCTGGCACTGCATTTTACTTTTTTTTATAAGTTTTTTGACGGATGCGAGACCTTAACATGTCATCTTTGAGCTGCAGAGATCAAAGATTCACCTGAAAGAAATTGAATAAACACAAATATTTGGAGAGAAAATTCAATAATTAAATTTTTTGCGTAGATTATTTTATATATATTTTTATACTTTATATAAAATGTGCTCCATGGATATCTACCGGGGGCAAAGGAAAAAGCTTAACCTTTTCAGTTTCTTCATCAAAATCCTTGTTCTAATTAGTATTTTAATTTGTAAAATGGGAACTTTTTAAGTTTCTTCAACAGCAAAGTCAACATATTGTCGAAGGCCAGCAATCAATCCAATTCACCACAGTAGTGGGGAGCAGAGAATCCGATCATGCCGCGACGATACGCTGACTGTATTACATTAGGCGCTTGTTGTGTGAGGTGGCTTCGGATGCGACGTGGCGTTATTAGGTTTGTTTAAGTGACTATAGGCTCGCTGTGCCGTGCCAAAAGACTTGGGATTGTTTTGCTGCTGCGTCTGCCTGCCTGAATACAAGTCAGCCAGTGTGGTGTAACAATGCGGAGAGGACATTCCATGGCCACTTCCAGGCTCAGGCACAACGAGATTGTCAGGATACAGTAGAAAAAAAAACCCAACAAAATTAAAATTAAAACTAGTAAAGAAACAAAATCACAACCTAAGTTGAAAAATCTGCATTTGCATCACCGCTTCCTATTAACTCTGCTTCTCTTTTGGATTTCTAACAGAAACAGGAAGTCCCTTTTTTCCCTATTCCTGAATCCAACAGGAGAGAAACCTGACGGATGTTCTGTATCTATCCCCAAATATCTTGAAGGGGAGGGGCAGAGGTATCTAAGCCCCCAAACAGTGAAGGTGTTTGTGTTTTTTGAATGTGAGCAGCCCATAAATTACCGCCCCCCCCCTTCCTCAAACCCCATGCCAGGAAAAAAAAAAGAGTAAATTGGACAAAAGGGCCAAGAATCATTAATGTGACCCCCCACACACACAAACACACACACACACAACTATACTTCCTTACACAGCAAGATTTCAACATGCAAAGACAGCCGTTCCCCTGAGATTACATCATGCATTTCATTCCTAAAGAAGCACAGAGATTTCTCTGAATTCTGTGGCCGTGATTATTTATATTTTATATGAAGCTACAATTTAGAGCTTTATTAATAATTGATTTTTTATTATTATTTTGAATGTGCCAAATAGAGGCCTAAACAAATTAATTTGGAGCTGGTATATCAGTTATAATGAAAAAATAAGATAAAAGTGTTAGATTTTTACAGAAATTAGTTCTGCACATCTAGTTATTTTTTGTAACAGTTAAACATTATGTTATATATTTATGTAAGTTTTTATTTTTTTTTCAGGATTTCCCCACTATGCATCTGTTGCCTTCAGACTTAACTTTAACTCTAATATATTGATGCTTTTTGTTGGGCAGGGCGACGGATAAATAATCCCTTTTCACCATATGGCGAGGACAAGCTCTGTCAAGCGATCTTGTAGAGATTGAGAGAAAAAAAGGAACAAATCAAGTGTGGTAAATTTATGTGAGGGGTGGGGGGTAAACAAAAAACATTTCCATGACAAAAAAAAAAAAAAAAAAAACAAGGCTTCGACCCGCAACAGACTCCCGCATTTTGGCCCCTTCTTGTAGAGCGCTTAAGACAAAAGAGACAATTGCACAACAAAAAGAAACGTGAACAAACTTAAAAGGAAAAAAAAAATTGAGGCCTTGAATATATTTATTTTAAAAATTTAAAGACAGAAGAGACACAATTTTAAAGATTCCGCTGCATGTCCACGCAGAATTATAGATTAAACAAAACAAGTGGAAAACAACTTTATCTTAAGAGCTCCGATACTTATTTTTGCAAAAATAAAAAAAATATTTACAAAAAGGCCTTTTCAAAAGAAGGCCTCCTGTAAATAAAGTGAATGCTGTAAATGGGAACTATTCATTGCATGCATTTATTCCATTAATCCTAAAGGTCAGCTGTCAGCCAACAGCCGAACATGACGAAATCAGTGCGACAATAAAAAAAAGAAAGAAAACTTTCCTGCTTAATAAAGAAAAACCTTTTGCGTTTGCATTTTTCCTTTAAGATATTGTTTTAAATGTTGATAAATATGATTATTCCATAAAAAAAAGATAAATTAATTAGATAAAGTGTTTTGTTCTGATGGAAAAGTTGAAGAAAACGCACTTAAGAGGACGGGAAAAGGAGGATCAGCTGATCAGATCCACTCACCGTGCTCGGAGATCACCCCGCTCAGTGCGGGATCCTCGTCCGACTTGAGGTGCTGCGGCTTGGCTTGCTTGCGTCGGGACATGCTGCTGTGGCTGCAGGCTGGGGTGCTCTCTGTGCTGCTTGCGCTGACTTGACGCTGATGTGTCCGCGCTGTGCAGATGCATCAGCGAAGAGCGCTGAAAATAAAATGATATTTCAAAAAAAAAAAAAAAAAAAGTTCACAGACAGTCTGCTGCGCTTGGAAAGTGTGTGAAGTTGGTTTGCAATCTGGGAAAATTAGCCAGTGTTGCCGCTCCTGTCGCCTCTGTCACTGTGCGTGGGATTGCGCATGTCGGGATAATAATTATGATAGTGAATAATGCCTCGCGATTAATGGCACCGTGTGAAGGTGGGGAGGATTGGCTGGGGTCCAGCGGACGCGCATTGGATATGGTAATGAGGGACGGACTGAACAATTAAGAGGGTTTTTTTTTCTTCTTCTTCTTTTCCTGCCCCCCAACAACACAACACACCAAAATTTCTCCCGTTCTGCCCCGTTCACAGCGAGCTTCCCAAAGACGTGCGCAGGGCTCAAACTAACCAAAGTGCCTCTCCGGTGATTCTGATGCGCATCGCGCAGCCTTGATGGAACCGAAAACTTCTAAAAGTCTCTTCTGAAACAGTCTGTCTTCCGTTCTTGGCAAACTTCTCGCACTTTCTCTATCTTTTACCCACTGAGGCTGAACACGCACCTCCTCCTAACCCCCAAAAGGAAGCGATTTGACGTGTAGTCTCTCTCTTTAAAGTTTTCTGTTGAAGCGCATCTTTGCGCTAATTGGAGATGTTTAGGTTTGGAAGTTTCTGTTGAACCATCAGCGTTTTTCTTCTTCTGTTACAGCGCAGATCGGCTCTCCAAAAACTTTGAAGCACGCGTTTTTTTTTTTTTTTTTTGGCTCAGCAACAAAACTGGTGGGAGCCTAAACTTAATTGTCCGCAAGAGAAGAGTCTCTTCAGTCGCTCTGGAGTCTCCTCCGCTCCTCCTGCAGCCGCGTTTCAGCTCCCGGTTGCGCCCTCGCTGTCAGTGCGCTCTGGGAAAGTGGCCATAAACGCACCGCAGGCTCTTGAGCTTGGTTCCGTGAAGGAGAGAGAGAGAAAAAAAACTTCGCCGCGTCTTTTTTCCTTCGGAGAGCGAAGAGAACTTCGGAGTTATCTTCTGGCTGCCCAGTCTCAGTGTCGCTCCCTCTCGTTGCTGAGCATGGCTCTCTGTGTGTGGAGGGGACTGCGCGCTCTCTGTGTGTGCAAGTGTGTGAGTCAACCCCCAAGCAAGGGTTCAGCCCATTGCTCTCAGCCACCACTAGGATGTACCACCACGTTGCTGTTCAGTGGCTCGTCCCCAGTCCTCCAGTGTGAACCACCCAGAGTCGACCTCCCATCATATCACACAGCGGGACAAATGAATTGATAGAGCGTCCTACTATTCTGGATTTTCATGGAAAGTCCGACTTTTTCACGTTTGTGTCATGAACCCTGTATAAAGTCACGGGAAATACATAGGATATTGTTTGAGGGTTAAAATAATATATATATGTATCATATTAAAAATATATATATTTATATAAAAAAAAAAAAAAAACATTTCATGAATGGCCCTATGAGGCCTTCGCTCCGTTTTTTTTATTTAATAGCTACATAAAAAAAATACATCCTAAGTAGCAGCATCACATTTTTTCATTTAATTTTCTTGTATGTTGCTTTAAATAAATCAGATGATCCGAAGGCTGAAGAAAAAGGGAGGAAAAAAACATACGATTTGGCACAAGAACTATTGCGACAGTTTTACTGCTTTTTAAAACATAATTTACGGATATTTTGCATTTTATTTTTAATATTTTAAAGCAAAAGTCAAAAGACAACGTCTTCTGCATAAAAAAAACAAAACATTTTATTAATACAAGTGGTTTCTTCTGATCTTGTAACAGACGCCTCTGCCTAAAAACTGAATGGTTCCTCAACAGATCTGAAACATCTGACATCAATGGAGGGTTCTTTTGTAGCATGTTAAATGTACCCCAATTTAATAATGGAAGTAAACCTGAGGAAATTTTCTACTGAGAACAAATCTGTGCTCTCTATCTAAAGAATGTGAAACTTTGGAATAAAAGATTTTAAAAAATGTCAACTGGTGTTTAATTGTGGTTGAGAAATTGATTTAATCAATACTGACTTTTCATAGCATCTCACATTTTCCCTATAGATAACATTAGGTATATTTTAGGGTTCAGGTCTATGTCTCAGATTTACCCTAAAAAAAAAAAAACAACAAAAAACTATGAGATTAGCAACATTTGAGGAAAGAAACAACAAAATGGTGGTTTTTGAAGCTATTTCAAGTCAGCCGCTCAACAAAGAAAGATTTAAAGTAGTCTCCTACATAAAATGAACACTGAAGAGATCAAATGAAGCCACATTCTTCTTATTATTGTCAACACAAATAGGTCTCTTGATCTTGTTCGTGTCTTTTATCCCCAAAAAAACTAGAAATTCCACAATAAAGTTTAAACAAGACTTCCTGAATGCCTATAGGCCTATTTTAGGTGTTGTAGTCCTTCCTTTATCCTGAAATGGAAAAATGCATTAAAATGTGACTTTTTTTTGGCTGTGGAAATCTATTTGAAAAGTTAAATGCTTGTTTAGCATCATTTAAAAAAAAAGATCACTTTTAGATGATAATGCATATTTAAAATAAAGGCAAAATCCTTTTTTTAGGGTCATATGAGCATTACACAACAGCTTCACCTTTTTTAGCTCCCTTTCTCTCCTCCTTTCCTCTTGCCTGCTTGACGTATATTCCCCTGTGTGCACCTCATATGAGACAAATCTGTTGACAGCAAAGTCGGCCTGCAGACCAAACTTTACTCCTACTTTTTCCCCCATCGTCCCCTCAGAAAGCATACGTCCGTGAGGGTGTTATTATCTAGTATTAATAGATGCAGCCCCGGGAAGACAAAATCAGCTATTGATAATTGCAAGGAGTCCACGGCAGCTATACTGTATCGATCGGCATGTCCTCCACTCCCTCTGGTACTGGGAGATAAGGAGACACACTCTTTAGAGCAATATAATTTCTTTTGACCTATCTGCTTGCTACAGACTTATGATGAATAGCCACAGTGGCCGGACTCCTTTATCACCAAAGTTCCCCCCCTTGATATAATATTGATTCTTTATAACTAGCTCACCACACAAAAATCAAACTGTCCACTTGGCCATCATCATCATCAATATCATCACAAAGGCAGCAGAATGAAGATCCCCGTACCTCTGAGAGGGAGAGCCCTTACAATCTTCTTCGTATAGGCTTAATCTTTATTTAGCTGATGATGAAAGGGAAGGGGAAACCAAGGTGCCATTTAAGTCCAGGTGCCATTTTAATCTGGGATAGACTACAGAAACATAGAAGTAGGAGGGGCTGGTGAATAGATATCTCCAGGGAAAGTATTGGGAAAAAGTAGGAAATTCTCATGCACTAGAAAAATGATTTTGTAGGCATATTAACTTTAGAGAAATAAAATTCCAGAAGATGCATTTTCTAAAATTCTTTTTTGGGAAACATTCTACCTAATTTTAAAAGATGATATCTGACGAGTGTAGTGCAGAGAATGGTAATGGCATGCTATGTTGGTATGAATTGCGTTATAGGTAAAAGTAAATTCTAGTTTCAAAAGTTTGTGTATTGGGGCAATATTTTGAGTTTGCATGCAGCTAACTTGTGACAGTGCTGTGCAATGTCAAATTCACAATTAAGGGTTCATAAACCCAAGGCAGCATCTGCAAATAAATCTTAAAACAGGAAGTGACAGCTCATTAAAACTCCATGTTTAAGTCCAATTGGAATCTGTCTCTTAAGGTGACTTTTTGTACCATAACTATATAGATTATTATGATAAACCCCACAAATGAATGGGTGTGCATCAAACTACCTTATTTTTGTTCCTGATACTTTTATTTTGAAGTGTAAGAGGAAGCAGTTCTTCAATTGCCTTGTTTTATTGACAGTGGGGCTTGCAAACAAGCTAACAACACACTAAAAGGGCCTTTCTTCTTTGAAATGTTTATCAGGTAGAATTAACGTGGTAGAAAGACAAAAGTATAAAGAAACAAAAAAATAAAAGACGTTTAAGCACTATGGAAAAAAACATTGCTACACCTGACTATTATGCTAAACTGACAAAAATTTTGCAACTACTTTATAGCCGCCTGTATCAGCGGTAGAGTGAAGGGCTGTTTCACACTGTTTAAAGAACCTAGATTGCATCGAAAATCTTAAACTCAAATTCTAAAGTAGCTTACTTATCGTGATCGAACTTGACCAATTATACACTAAAGGCCATTCTTTTAAAACTTCTGTTTATTAAAATTAAAATAGGCTTTGTCAACCCTTTTGGCACTGGGGCTACATTACAGTCATTGAAGTATGTATTAATCTATACTAAAACCTGTCAAAGGTAAACTGGACTTATTTAAGACTGTTGAACATCTCTTCTACTGGTGAAAGCAAAACAAAAACAAGATTTTCAAATTATCAGAGGGATTTAATCTCATTCGAATGGATCAATTTGGGAGCTGGATGTATTTTTTTGTCCCTATTTATCATTATTTCAGCAACTTTTTGACACATAGGTCAGCAAAATGAGAAAAATAAGAAGAACCATTTAGATAAAGTTTCATCTTATATTTTAAGCACTTCAGAAATGTTTGTTGCAATACCTTTTATTTATGTCTCTTGTTTTCTTTCGTCCTTCTTTCTCTTCAAGTGGTAGTTTATTCTCTAATAGGACTTTGATCTACCTAAATCACATTGCTGCATAGGCTATTAATTAGGTTGAAGCAGTTTTGTAACCCTGTAGTCTGGTATGAAAGGAATGTCTAGTGTCGCTAATGATGAATAAAAATTAGGTTTGCACATTTTAAGCACTAACAGCACAGGGAAAAAGCAAAACTAAGACCTTGTTAATGATGCTGTTGGTACCGGATGCGGCTCACTCTGTGGCTGCCCCATCGAGGCCACTCATTCTTCAACGAGAGAGAGTCACCAACGCTGCTGCTGCTGCTGGAGGAGCAGGGGGTGAGGGGGGTGGGGGGGAGGCAAGGAGGGTGGGAGAGAAGAGGAACGCGTAATCTCCCAAACATCCGTTGTAAACCACTTCACCCCCTCTGGATCTGTGCGGCAAGGTAAGAAAAAAGCCTGCGCGGCTTGGCCCTCTCTGCATCGTAAAGTGCTGTGGCAGGCGTGCGTAACAGCTCCTCTCTGCTCTGCTCTGCTCTGGGAGGCTGATGCTGTCTTCTACTGCGGACAGAGAGCGCAGGGAGGCCGGGGACGGAGCTCCACTACAGCAGGGTAAATTCATATTTACATTCCTAACTTTATTTTTTCTTTGCCGCTGTGATCAGTAAGAGGGGATTTATTTTCTTTTATTTAACACCAGGAGCGATCCATCATTGGGACATGGTATTAGAAGCGCGTTCTTGGGAATGGAGTAACATTTGATATGACCGCTGTAGTTGCGCAGCATAGAAAAAAAAATTGAGGACTGCGTGAACGACCAATCAGAGCTCTTTGCGGCGCCGCAACCGGAGCGATTACAGACACACAAACGCGCGCGCGCGCACACACCAACATATTACTGAGGCAGCCTATGGCGCACACCCCGCAGCATCAGCTGCACCAATCAGACAGCCGGGAACGTTTTACTTATTAATATTAACATTTTTCCAGACAAATCTTTTTCCCTTGTTAGTCTCATGTTGTGTGCGACCCTTTAGAGTCATGTTTCATCTAGGACTTGAAGGTCTTATTACTTGGAATTTCATTTTTATTCATTGTTTCTTTTCATGAACATTATTTGGTTAATATAATTTTTATAAAAGCATATTTTA